CTTCCACATCTTGCCTCTTACCTATCCAGTAAAATCTCTGTCGTAGGTGACTCAATGTCTTCTTAACTCCGAGATGTCCTATTAAACTATCACGGGAACGACGTAGCACAACTTCCAGTAATTTTCTCGGTATAACCGTTGAAGCAACTTGAAATTTTCGAGGAAATTTTACAAATTGCTTCAAGTTTTTAACTATTTAAAGGTACTTAGAATAAAAGCTTAAGGGTTTTAATACAAGCAAGCAAGTAAAGATAGATATAAAAAGAAAAGATGCGACAATAGGACGCCTGTGTTACGAAATAAGCCTTGAGAAATTAATAAACAGAAACTTGGTTATACAAGAGGCATCACTTAGAAGTAAGCAGCCAAACACGTGCAGTACTTAAAAATAAGTTTAAGAGGCGAGCTTGGAAACCAGTGACCAAGGTCAGCAGCAGAGTTAGAAAGAACTGTTGTATAAAAACAGGATGTAGACACCAGTACATGTGACAGTTTGATGGAGTGCTGACCTCGCTCTCTTAGCACTAAGAAAGCTGCTGAAAAGTTTAGATTTGGTGAATCATATCGGCACTTTGAGGCAGTATAAGTTACAGTACATGGGTGTAGCAGTACAAGTGAATAGGCGGCCGGCTAACACCACTTATCTATGACCAATAACCTGAGAGTTTTGGTTCAGGTTCTGGATTAGACCGGGAATTCCCCTAAAGTATCCAAAAGGAGCACATGACTACTTGTGGGTGATGCTGTGTCCTATTTAGTGGGTGAGATTTAACACAAGGAAATTAGAGTTTAAAAACCCATGTCAGAGGCTGAAAAATCAACTTGTCATTGTCTGGGGCTGGTTAAGTCGATGGTTAATGTATCCTCCTTGCGTAAAAGACAATAAATCGTCCTTTAACGTGTTGTTACGTCTCCGTTCGTTACTTAATTTTCCGTAAATTCGTTCCGACGAAACTTTAGCGACACAAGTCCTTTCTTAAATAAAGCTGGTTTATTCTTTCTGAATATAACTTTGCGATACACTTAATTTCAACAGTCGCGCTATAATTCTTAATGAACGTCTCACATGCTCGACTTCAACAATACTCCATTCAATTACACAGTCTCTGACTGCAGTTCAATTACTCACTGTCTCTGTTCCCCCGTCACGTTGTGACCATCTCATATATATACAAGACTAACACATATCTAGTAAATGCTAGGGCATTCATGAAGGTTCGAGACGGAGTGGCGTGATACTAGTCACATGACCTCGCTGATGCAACAGTATCTAATTCGCTTTTAAATTTATTAATGTTTTCCATTTGTACTTCTTACCATTGTTGTTGATTTTCCTGTAGTTGCTGCTGACTTTCCTGCAACTGTTGGTTACTTTCTTCCTGTTTCCTTTCTTGTTCAAGTTGTTACTGCTGTAGTCTCTCTTCTTGTTTATTTTCTTTCTCCTCCAATAGCAGTTGTAATCTCTCTTCTTGTTTCTTCTTTCGTTCTTCTTGTTTCTTTTCTTTTTCCTCTAACAACTGTTGTAATTTCTCTTCTCGTTCTTCTTGTTTCTTTTCTTTTTCATCTAACAACTTTTGTAATTTCTCTTCTCGTTCTTCTT